AAAAAAAACACGTACATTCAAAAAAATCGATCAAAAATTCCTATAAATCCGATTTAAAAAAAAAAGTCCCGAGGTGCTGAAATAAACGGAAAAAAACGTCATGACTGCCTCGTCGGAAATTAAACCAGTCGTGCTTCAGAGAACCGGAATGGTGACATGTACATTTAGAATGTACACCCGCAAAAAGAAAGCGTGGGTTTTATTCAAATGAAATACAGCTGCCATGAAGCAAGTGACGTGATTGATATTCAACATCCAGTAAAATTCATAAGTTTCTCTCGAGGTGTTGCAAACACTTCTTTTTTTTTATTTTGAACCTCAGTTCCGCCCGGTTGCTCACCAGCAACTGCTCTGTGCTTTTCTTCAAAGTTTTCTCTATCCTGGTGATTTATACACAGATATAGTGACATCAGGAAAAATGGAGTTGACTGATCATTTATCCAGAAGCATCAGCAGTCCAGCAAAGCTCTACAAGACCCAAACTTCTCAGAAAAACTCAGTCATCATCAGGGTACAGTTTGAACCTCAATAACCTGAACCTCTCTGAGTCAAATATCTCCCTTTTTTCAATTTTGTCAAGTACATGTCTGAATGCTGTTGGAAACAATGCATTAAAAATGTCCATATCTCAAAAGGCTTTCATCCCTTGTTAGTCTTGAAACATTCTAGTTTGTTTTGAGATTCTCCTTTTTATCTTCAAGGAAAAAGACAAGGTGTCCCCAGCAGGTGTTTCCTTGTTTTGAATTTCCTATTCTCACGTCACCCCACATTAAAGCGTGATGCTTTCCTTATACAGTATATATACTGTATATATGTACAGGTCATACCTCACAATTCAATCCTGATCAATTGCCAAAGTAGGGTCAAATTATAAAGCGGTTGAATTCTGAGAAACTTTGTGAAATTCAAAAATATCAGCACAAAAATGCAAAAAAGTGGCCAAAGCAGGTCAAATTGTGCAGCAAGTGTTTTATTTTGATCAGTTAGGACAACACTCACAAACCTCCAAAACTCAAATTTTCTGGAGGCCTTTTTGCTATTAGTCATTTAGTTCTTGACACTGGAGAGAGAGAATGAATGAAAATGTAACTTGATGTGTTCCTAAAAGTGAAACACCATAATTGGGCAAATGAGCGCTTGCCTCCAGGTTCAACATCCTGTCAACTCATTTAAGAAGTAATTTAAGGACCAGAATATAATGCAATTACAATTTTCTGTAATTATTCCCAGCTTCCCCCAAAAAAAAATTATTCTTTCCAGAAGTCGACATTTTCTACTGGTCCCTTGAAGTTTGACTCAGAGACGTTTGACTGTAAAAAAAAAATTCCGTTTTCATTCAACTTCATTCAAATAAACTACTTTTTTTAATTCCGTTAAAAAAATTAAAGAAATACAGTCAAGTCGATCAGCCTCCTCATCACCTTCTGGAACAAAAGTTCCAGGGAGAATTTGTGCAACACGAAGGAGAGTCAATTCATCACCCAGATCACAAAGACGAAGACACGCTTTGCGGATTGGGAAACTGGAGACCCAAGGTCCTGCAAAAATTTGCGAGTCCCTGGAGCTTCATGGCTGCTTACTGCCTCACAATCATGCTCCAGGGCATGTTCTTCACATACTTTCTAGCCGTCATAACTACGATAGAGAAACAGTTCGACATGAAAAGCAGCATCACGGGTAAGGGACAAAATATATAAGTGGGATCCCGACATACGGACATCTCCACATATGTACGATTTGACTTAAGGACATTTTAAACTTTACAAAACCCTGTCTCGTTATCTGGACAATGTCTTCAGATATGGACACTTTTCAAAAAGTTCTAGAAACATTAAAACAAAATTATTTTCCTAAATGTTTTTAATCTCTTGAATAAATTAAGCTAAATATTTACAAAAATATAAACTAAATTGCATCACAAAATTAATTTTTAATTCATGATCAAAAAGAGGATAATTTCTTGCTTATTTTTTCGATCATTTTTGCACAATGTAGTAAGACTTTTCTTATAATCTTTGCTTCTTGAGCTCCTTTTGATGCCAAAAGATAGGCTTTCTCTGCACTGTTATTTTCTGCAGCTAGAAACTTGAAAAAAAAGTTAATTACATTTGTTGACACTTTATCTTAAATTTTGGTCAACACGAGAAACACATAAATATGTTCCCATCAGAAACATGATACGAAAAGTATGCTTCGACATAAGGACAAGGTCCAATAGAGCACCGATTTCGTCCGCATCTCGGGGCCCCACTATAAAATCGAACGTCCAATTTATGTCTCGGTGATGATGATTTTTTTTTTCATAAATAGGCGTGGTGATGGCGGGTAACGAAATCAGCGAGATAGTGTTCGCCATTTTCATCACGTATTTTGGCGGGAAGGGGCATAGACCGCATTGGGTTTCCTGGGGGATCTGGTGCACAATTATCGCCTGTCTCATCATGGCGTCGCCTCAGCTCTTTGAAACTGAACAAGAGAGCCCTTTGTACCGATTACCAAACACAACTTGTGAGTCTAACACATGCCCCTTGGTGTATTCGACTTAATAGGACCACCTTATGGGCAAAAGGCTTTTCAATCCTAATGAAGGAATTTTATTTAAAATTTGTTATCCAAAACTATAAAGACAACTGTCATGATCAGTCACTGTTGGAACTTAATTATTATAGCTGAGGAATTGGAAATGGAGGTTTAAATTGTTTTCCGCAACTTCCAAAGGAAACACAAAAGTTACTCTACAAGAGTACAAAAGAATGATCTTTTATTATATTCTTCACACACAGTAAATACAATAGCAACGTGGACAAGGCATTTGGTCAGTCAGGTGCAGTAAACTTAACGCAACATATAATGTACCTGTATATATAGCTTCAGCCTGCCGAGGTCAAGGAAGGCGCATAGAAACCAATTTGGATCAGGGACGTCACACTTTGTTTCTTTAAAAGGAAGGAAGCGTGAGCGTGGTTGGGAAAGGATTCTGTCAATCTAGCTCACCAGGTGCAGCAGAGCGTAGCAGAAATACATTAGCTTAAAAGGTTTGTACAGAAAGTGAGGGGTATTGTGGTTGTTATTATGACTACAAATTGAAGGATGATGAATTCTAATACCACTTGAACAGCACAATATATATTCAAGCAAAAACAAACAAATCATCACATCTATTGTCAAAAAACAAAGTAAAGGGGTTGTTTATAAATACAAGTTTAGGAATTTGTGAAGTTTGAGTTAATCTTTCCAAGAGCAGCATTTATAGGTCCAATCAAAAGTACCTGAAAATACAGCATAAAATATTGCCTTCATAGTTTCGATTTTTTTCTTCCTGAACAATTTTGGTCCTAAAATACGTGACAGAGGTCCCATATCAACTGATGGTGGTCGTATTACGCGGAATCTCAACTATACTTACGTCAATTTGAATTTAAAAAAATTCAGCATGACAATCATTAACCCCGTGTTTGTCCTGAATAATACAGTATGTTTCTTTCCTTTTCCATATACCCATCACTTCACAGCCACGAGTCCCCTAAAGATGTGCCTGGCACAAACGAATTCAGCACTGCCGCCTGTTTGTCACTCAGAAGGGCACGGGTCCATCAGAGGAATGTTCATGATGTTCGCGTCATTCTTTGTTTCCGGGCTCGGGGTATCGGTTATCCAGCCCCTGGGGCTGTCATACTACGACGACAATGTCCCGCCTGCCCAGGCCCCATTGTTTCACGCAGTTCTGTCCGCGGCCCGGGTTCTGGGCCCGTTTTCCGGCTACATGCTGGGTTCCGTGTGCCTCAGGTTCTACGTTTTCCCGGGCGGCAACCCTGGTGGGATTCGCCTCGAGGACCCAAGATGGGTTGGAGCTTGGTGGCTTGGTGAAAAAAAAATTCCATTTCTTTCGAAAAAGCAAAATAACACATGTTCAAAAATTTTATTTCAATTTACAGGGTTCGTCTTGATCGGAGCAAGTCTGGTCTTGCCAGCATGTCTTATATTTTTATTCCCCAAGAAAATCCCCAAGGCAAATAATGCGTATCACTTCAATGTGGAAATGGCGAAGAAAGAGATTGCAAAATTGCATGCAGGGAATATTTTGGTGCGGAGGAGTGAGAATCATGACCTTTCAACTTCACATAGAGGGAGCCTCTTTCCTGACCCAGCTGAGGATGATGAGGACCATGAACTCCCATCTTGGAAAGGTTGAATTCAGATTATTTCGATTTTTTTGAATTTGAAAAAGGCTTGGTATTCTTTTTTTTTTTACTAAACAGAGATTCCATCTGTGATGAAGAGAGTGCTGACAAACAAACTGTTCATGTTCCATCTCATTGCCCTGAATTTTCAACTGCTGGCAAATGTTGGGTTTTTCACTTTCTCTCCAAAATATCTGGAATCACAATTTAGAGTTTCTGCAGCCACATCAAACCTCGCCATTGGTAAGTACATAGTGGGATACCAACACATGCAAGCTCTGACATTTGGATGATTCAAGTTAAACATCACACACACCGTAAAACTAAAAATTCCACCCCAAGAAAGTGAATTGGAATTGTTCTCTTTGCCGAAATTTTGATAAAAATTGGAGATACCAGTTTCCAAAAAAGTGATTGTCATTGAAAGCATTGAGCACTTGTCTCATTTGACAAAAAAGTCAAATTACAATTTTTGCATAGCCACTCCAATTTGTTTCCTACTGAAGAAGATGTCATTCTAAGGCCGAAAAGAACATTAGCCTTTGCATCTTACTTCAAATACAACCCACCTAGCCAGGTGAATACTCTCAAGAAAAACAAGACCAAGGAAAGGATCCATGGAAAATTGGAAAATCAAGATATTGAAACCCTGATAGAAGAAAATCTCAGAATTAGCCCTTTTTGAACTTTTCTAGAAAACTGAGAAAGTTCCAGTTTTCAAAAGTTTTTTTAACTTTTGAAAAAATTGAATTTTAAGTAAAAGTCAAATTAAAGTTTATTGTTAATTCACTTTACTTAATCTTCAAATCACATCAATTCCTGGATCCTTTTGAAAGTATTGGGCTATCAACTGCTCACAGTACAGCATATTTTTGTCAACATGCTCATTTTTAACATTTGAACTCTTGTCAATGCCAGAAGTGCAGACACAGTATGGTTTTATTCTTCACCATTTTTTCTGTGCTTCAAAGTTGAGAAAACTTTTTTGTTGGGCTTTGGAGAAAATTTCCCAAGTTTTTGTCAAATGTGAGAAGGGCAATCAAGTCCAAATATCAGGGCTCAATTTTACTTTACAAAGGAAGGCATATGGGAAATATATCAAATTTTTGATAACTGACTTTTTATTTCCATGGAAAGTTCAAAAAAGGGCCAAAATAAATTAAAGTGACTATACAAAAGGCTTATTGTGAATTGTTATCCAATACAATATAAGGCAACTGCTCAATTTGTTCCAAAGCCAACAATATTTTGAAAACTGATACCTTCTGCAATCAGAACATAAATAAGAAGTCATCTTCCAACACCCATTCAAGGGGTGAGGATGCTCCAGCTTGCTTCATTTTTGCAGCCATAAATGTATATTTGCACTTCAAATTTAAATTAAGAGGCTGGGTAATTGCCTCAGCACTCAGATGCCCCTTGCATCTGCAATGTGTTTTCATCAGTTTGAAATCTGCAATAATTACATGACTTTCCAGGTGTGGCAGGCGTTCTAGTAATGGCAGTGGGAATGCTTGTCATGGGGATCATCATCAGGATTTTCCGCCCAAGACCAAGAGTCCTAACAGGCTACCATGTCCTAGTGACAGCTTTCTGCATATGTGGTCTTTATGCTGCCAGTACCATTGGGTGCACTGGGTTGAAGCATTATGGTGCTCAGCACCCAACCACCAACATGTAAGCCAAGTCAATCACACTTGAAAAAAAAAACTAATAAAACTTTTTTTTACTACAGATTAAATATGACAAGTGGTTGCAATTCAAATTGCAAATGTTCAACAAAGGATCACAATGTGGTCTGCATAGAGTCCACAGGGGTGCACTTTTACAGCCCATGCTTTGCAGGATGCACTGATTCAAAGAATGTGACCAAACCTGGGCCAGATGGGACATATCTCAACAGAACAGTATATACTATGAAGGAAAAACATTCATTTACATTTGCCTAAGATATTTTTCAAATATTTTTTTCTTCTTCAAGGTTTACACTGGTTGCAGTTGCGGGATGGACGCTCTAGAAGACTACAAAATAAATCTCGAACCAGTTTTCGACTTGGAATCCCTGACAGTGGCATCAAATGGATTTTGCGACGAAGCCAAATGTGCAAATTTCATAAACTACTTGATGCTTTTGGCGCTGATTAAAGTTGTAGCTTCAACAGCCAGGGTCGGGAATCTCATGATTACTGTCAGGTAATTACACAAAATATTAAAATTGATATAGTAATATATTTTACAATTTTTTTTTTGCAGGGCTGTTGAAAGAAGAGACAAGTCAATAGCAGTTGGAATGACTCTGGTCTTTTTTTCTCTCTGTGGGTTTATACCTACTCCGATAATTTTCGGAGCCCTCATAGGTGATTAAATCATGCAAAACTAATAAATTGACATGTAATTTATGCATATTATCTTCGACAGATTCCACGTGTTTGGTGTGGAGCACTAATGACTGCGGTGAAGAGGGAAATTGCACATACTATGACTCGGAAAAATTCAGAAAATACCTCCACATGGCCTCAGCAAGTAAGTTTTTATTGGAAAATTAAGCATCAAAGTGACACTTTTTCATATTTCAATTTTTGCTTTTTTCGTAGGTTTTATGTGTGTTTCCCTTGTATGTGACCTAATGGTGTGGATGAATTCGGAACACCTGGATTTGTACGAGAAACCGAGTGGAATCGACAGTGATTCGAACTCAAGCGATGATACAGTTGCCGAAGAAGAAACTTCGAAAAACCGTTACTGAAAAAAAGCATTATTTTCATTCCTTCTTTCAATATTTTATTTTATTTGAAAAATGGCTGATGGATGTTCGAGAAAAATTAAAACGTTGATTTCTGCAAATCCTCCCCGAAAAATGGCACCGTTTTATTTTTTTTCGCGACCAAATTTTTTTTCGGTGGGAAGTTAAACATTCCACGGAATTCCAAATATTGTGTCACGAGATTAATTTTTATTTGCAAGAACCAAGAATCACATTCAGCTCAGGACGGATTCCTCAAATTTTTCAGATCCTAGAAAGGTGTTGTACAATGAAGAACCCAGTGGGGATTTTCCTCGTGATTTTTCCCCATGTTTTGAACACAATTTGTCACGGAGGTTCGTTCTGAAATTTTTTTTTCTGTTGATTTCACTATTTGAAATTGAAGAGTGTTTTTATTTATTGGAAGATGAAATCGCGGATGTTCTCCAAAAATTCCCTCATTTGAAAGAACCCCTGGCGTCAGTAAATTTTGAAGATTCATCCGAGATGGGGATGGGTCATAATGGAATTTTTTCCCCATCTTTCGTTCATGCTGATTTTTCTCAACTTGAAAATGGTGAGGAGTTTTCATTTATTCAATTGCTCCAAACGAATCATTGAAAAATTCATCTCCAAGAGAGAGAAAACAATCACAAGAGATTAGGAGAAGGGTAAACATAAGACAACAAAGGAGCAGGATTCAGAATATAATATGAACAAAAAGGTTAAAAAAAGAGCTCCTGTCAAAATAAAAAATATCGAAATTCATCATAAGTTTATTTGAAGGTTATTTCGAGCTTGTATACCCTAGAGGTTATGCAAGATATATTTTACTAGATTTTTTGATGTGGAGAGAATTAGGAATAACACAACAACTCCTTTCTGACAGAAATAGTCTCATTTGTACCACCACAATTTGCACAAGACAGAGACACAACAGGACCTTCGAGATTTCCTACACAGGATGTCTCAACAATAGTCAGCGCACTGATGCCTCATTTTGGGCAGAAGCTACTGGGGTTTAAATACTCCATAATGTTTCAATA